CTACCGGGTGAACAGCAACCCACCCATGCACATAGAACAGCAAAAGAACAATGTGAACAACACTCTATGCGGGGGGGTTGAACAGCGAAGTACTACCGGGTGAACGGAAACCCACCTATGCACATAGAATCAGCAAAAGAACAATGTGAACAACACTCTATCCCGAGGGTAAACAGCGAAGTACTACCGGGTGACCAGCAACCCACCCATGCACATAGAACAACAAAAGAACAATGTGAACAACACTCTATCCCGGGGGTTGACCAACGAAGTACTACCGGGTGAACAACAACCCACCCATGCACAGAGAACAACAAAAGAACAATGTGAACAACACTCTATCCCAGGGGTTGAACAACGAAGTACTACCGGGCAAACAACAACCCACCCATGCATATAGAACAGCAAAAGAACAATGTGAACAGCACTCTATCCGAGGGGCTGAACAACGAAGTACTACCGGGTGAACAGCAACCCACCCATGCACATAGAACAACAAAAGAACAATGTGAACAACACTCTATCCCAGGGGTTGACTAGCGAAGTACTATCGGGTGAACAGCAACCCACCTATGCACATAGAATCAGCAAAAGAACAATGTGAACAGCACTCTATCCCGGGGGTTGAACAACGAAGTACTACCGGGTGAACAGCAACCCACCCATGCACATAGAATCAGCAAAAGAACAATTTGAACAGCACTCTACCCCGAGGGTTGAACAGCGAAGTACTACCGGGTGAACAGTCACCTACCCAGGCACATAAAACCGCAAAAGGACAGTGTGGACAACACCCTACCCCAGGCTTTGAACAGCGAAGTACTACCGGGTGAACAACAACCTACCCATGCACATAGAACATCAAAAAAACAATGTGAACAACACCCTACCCCGGGGGTTGAACAACGAAGTACTACCGAGTGAGCAGCAACCTACCCATGCACATAAAACAGCAAAAGAACAGTGTGAACAACACCCTACCCTGGGGTTTGAACAGCGAAGTACTACCGGGTGAACAGCAACCTACCCATGCACATAGAACAGCAAAAGAACAATGTGAACAGCACCCTACCCCGGAAGTTAACACCGAAGTACTACCGGGTGAGCGGCAACCTACCCAAGCACATAGAACAACTAAATGACAAGATTTGAAGCACTCTATGAAGAGGAACCATCCCTGAAGTGTCCCGAAGTGACGCGCTACACACACACTCATCAAGGACAACATAAAGGTAAGATTTGAAGCATCCTATGAGGAGGAAACATCACCGAAGTATGCCGAAGTGAAGCGCCACACACACACTCATCAAGGACAGCATAAAGGTAAGATTTGAAGCATCCTATGACGAGGAAACATCACCGAAGTATTCCGAAGTGAAGCGCCACACACAGACTTATCAAGGACAGCATAAAGGTAAGATTTGAAGCATCCTATGAGGAGGAAACATCACCAAAGTATCCCGAAGTGAAGCGTCACACACACACTCATCAAGGACAGCATAAAGGTAAGGTTTGAAGCATCCTATGACGAGGAAACATCACCAAAGTATCCCGAAGTGAAGCGCCACACACACACTCATCAAGGACAGCATAAAGGTAAGATTTGAAGCATCCTATGAGGAGGAAACATCACCGAAGTATCCCAAGGTAAATTGCAACTTACCCAAGCACCCAATTCAGTGAAAAGTCAAGATTTGAGGCAATCTATGAAGAGGAAACATCACGGAACTTTCACAAGGTGAATCGCAACTCACCCAAGTTCCAAAATCAGTGAAAACTCAAAGTTTGAAGCAATCTATGAAGAGGAAACATCACAGAACTTTCACAAGGTGAATCGCAACTCACCCAAGCCCCCAAATGAATGAAAACTCAACGTTTGAAGCAATCTATGAAGAGGAAACATCACGGAACTATCCCAAGGTGAATCGCAACTTACCCAAGCCCTCAAATCAGTGAAAACTCAAAGTTTGTAGCAATCTATGAAGAGGAAACATCACGGAACTATCCCAAGGTGAATCGCAACTTACCCAAGCCTGCAAATTCTTGATAACTCAAAGTTTGAAGCAATCTATGAAGAGAAAACATCACGAAACTTTCACAAGGTGAATTGCAACTTACCCACGCCCCCAAATCAGTGAAAACTCAAAGTTTGAAGCAATCTATGAAGAGGAAACATCACGAAACTTTCACAAGGTGAATCGCAACTTACCCAAACTCCCAAATCAGTGAAAACTCAAAGTTTGAAGCAATCTATGAAGAGGAAATATCACGGAACTATCCCAAGGTGAATCGCAACTTACCCAAGCCCCTAAATCAGTGAAAACTCAAAGTTTGTAGCAATCTATGAGGAGGAAACATCACCGAACTATCCCAAGGTGAATCGCAACTTACCCAAGCCCCTAAATCAGTGAAAACTCAAAGTTTGTAGCAATCTATGAGGAGGAAACATCACAAAACTATCCCAAGGTGAATCGCAACTTACCCAAGCCCCTAAATCTGTGAAAACTCAAAGTTTGAAGCAATCTATGAAGAGGAAACATCACGGAACTTTCACACGGTGAATCGCAACTTACCCAATCCCCCAAATCAGTGAAAACTCAAAGTTTGAAGCAATCTATGAAGAGGAAACATCACGGAACTTTCACAAGGTGAATCGCAACTTACCCAAGCCCCTAAATCAGTGAAAACTCAAAGTTTGTAGCAATCTATGAGGAGGAAACATCACGAAACTATCCCAAGGTGAATCGCAACTCACCCAAACCCCCAAATTGGTGAAAATCACAGTTTTGGAGGGAGGAAGAAGATGAGGAAGGGAGAGAAGAAGAAGGGGAGGAAGAGAGGTAAAGGAACGAGAGAAAGAAGGAGAAGAGGAAAGGGAGGAGAGAGAAAGAAGAAGAAGAAGAAGAAGAAGAAGAAGAAGAAGAAGAAGAAGAGGAAGAAGAAGGAGAAAAAAAGGAGAGAAGGGAGAACCTTCCTCTTCTTTCACATACCTCCCACTGGTCTCTTAGTCAATGGTCTTCCAGGCTTGGCTCTAGCTTCTGAGCATAATTCTCCCTCCTTCCCTAGTCCTTCCCTTCTCTCACACTTCTCCTCTAGCTATGGCAGGCTCCTACCTCTAAGGCTGTGGAGTTCTTCCCTTTAGAAGGGCTAAGGGGACCCCTTTCAGCCTTTCCTCCTACTTCACAACCTGAGGGCTATGGCAGACCACTCTCCTTGCTCCCTTCTAACCTCTAGGTCACCTTTCTCAATCTTACCACCATAGTCAGACTACAGGCTAGCTCCGACCCTCACTCCCTTGCTCTATCTCACTAGTACTCACTCACGAGCTCATTTGGGCAGCATGGGCACCTCTCATGCTCAAATGAGAGTTGCGGCCTACACCTCCAGCTTATATAGGTTGGAACAGGTGCACCGCCCAACCTCTAGGCCCCTCCAAGTGCCTCTAGGTGGAGCGAGGTATCCCAAGGGCCAAATTTTCAGTTTTGGCCTACCTGGAGGTACATGGGCCTCATTTTGGCCATGTACATGCAGTCTGAGAGACTGGTGCCCTCTCGGACTACCCCTTGGCCTACCCCGGCCTCCTTTCTTTTCAAAAGTGCTGCCTTTTAGGTACCACTACCCTTAAATGCAGCCTTTACCAAAATTTGAGGGCCTAGAGACCCGTTTTTCGTTTTTCCCTAGTCTAGGCCTCTTGTGAGTAGCCCGTTGCATTTTCCCTATTGGCGGCACAGATCTCACCCTTGGATTTCGCTGAGGTCTATGGTTCTCATCATTCCGAGTCACTCTAAGCTCCCCTTGCTCCAAATTTGAGTCCTTTGCCCCAATTTTTAATTTTTTTTTGATGTACCTAGCCCAAACCTTGGGCCAAATTCGCAGTTTTGTCTTGCTCCTCTCTTTGTTTTTCCTCCATTTTGCTGCCAACTCATTCCGGAGCTAGCCGTTTTGCGTCAGCCCACAAAAAACGGCTAGATCTCCTCTACCATGGGATCAGATTTCAGATCTAAGGCCCAAAAATGAGCCGGCCAACTCACATCAGCATTTCCCCTTATTTTTGTTGTTTTAATTCATATATTGCAGAGATAATGCCCCAAGGGCCTTATCTCTGCAATGCGGACTGCACTCCTAGGATCTAGGAAGGACGAGGTCATCATTGGGACCTGTCCATCCCTACTGCTGTAGTCCCAACCTAGCGGCACTTTTTCCTCCACTCCTTCCTCCTCCTTTGTCTCATTCTCCCCCTTTTTTCTCCTTTTTTTTCTCATTTACTGTTGGGACAAGTGTCCAACAACTATTTGTCCTTCTACTAGTTGTTGGACCTTTCCCAAGGCCTGATTTGCAGCCGGCATATGGCCGTTGCAACTAGGACTGCAATAGTGGCACTCCCGAGGCCAAAGGGGGCTCCTTTTTGCCGCCGCCGCTTTCAGTTTTGAGACCCGTTTACTCCGATTTTCTCACGCAAGTCTTTTCTCCACATGGAGTTCTCGGAACTTCGTTTTTCTTGTTCTGGCTGGTCCGGAATAACCCGGACTGCTGGCCGGCCCCCTCATTACTACTATCCCCTCCTCTTTCTCCCTCGGCACCTCCCGCCGGCGCTTGCCGTTGCGGCACTCATCCTTTTCATCCGGACCCCTTGCCCGGGCGGTCCCGCCCACCTGATATTTTCTTATTTTAGTTTTATCGTTGTCGTTGAACCGGATCCAGGATCCCCTTGGGTCGCCCCAGGTGTCCTTCGTCTTTCCCGTCACATGTCCGTCTCCCCCATTCCCTTGACAATTTTTGTCAGCGCCCGACTTCTCCTCCTTTTCTTATTGCTCCTAACCCCTCCCCTTCGTCCGGCGTCACCCCGGGTGACGACCCGCTCGCGCGCGTCCCTCTATCGGTCGGTTGCCAACTATCCTGCTGACGGCTCTGACCTTCGTCCTCCGTCCACGGCTCCTGACGCTTTATCCCATCTATACCCGCCCTACCAGTGGTTCCGCTGGCGCCGCCATCCTGTCTAGGCCCACGTGGTTCGTGGCGTTTTGGTCCGCCCGTGCTTCGTCTATCACTTGGCCTTACACGGTTCCTGGTACTTCACCCTGCCGATACCACGCCGCCCCTCGATCCCGCGCGGTCCCCGACACCTTGTCCTGTCGGCACCGTACTTCTTCTTAGCCCCCTGTGGTCCCCGACACTTTGTTCCGCCGGTACCACACTTCTTTCCTTCCCTTGTTGCGCACCCCCTATGCTACTACGGACTTCCCGGCGCCCCCCCCTCCGACCTTGGGGAAGGAGTCGCTTCTGCTATCCTCTCACCGTCCTTCGCTGCTTCCTGTTTAGACAGTTCCTTTCTAGTTTGGCGGTCCTGACGACTCTGGGCAGCCTCTAGCCTCTTACTGTCTCTGCCCATGCTTCCGATCTTTCCAGCGTTCCTGCCTCCGGTTTTCTTTGTCGTGCACAAATTGATCATATCCAGTTTCTCGAGCGACGGGAAATCATTCAGGACTCACCAGTCCCGACACCGGCCGCATGACGTGTGTACCCTTATAAAGATTGTTCTCGTTGCAGGCAGGAGGTTATTAAAGGTCTTCGTGTTCAAAGTTCGCCGGGATCCGAACTTCGAGGTCTTCGAATGGCGTGATGTGACAGACGTGTTGAGCGAAATGTTTGCCGTCTGTGTTTTTGATGCTTCGTTGCCGCCTTCGTTGTGGTTTGACTGCGACTTGACGCCCTCTGGTGGTTTGCTTCTTTTCCGTTGTCATCCACAGACACGATGTCTTCGTCGAGGGCCGACGGGGAGCCTGCCGCGACCTCCGGGATGGGATCAGGGAAAGATTCCACAAAACGTTCGTCTACGACCTCGAAATCGTGGTCGGACCACGCAAGGTCGAAATGGTTCGTCGACTGGTGTTGTGGGGATGCTTCAAACCCACATGAACAGCCGTGTCACGTGTGGTCCTGTGATCTTCGTCGAGGCCAACAAACGCCGTAGGGTTCTGGGGGCTGTCTTGTGGTGGGAGGATGCGAAAGGCAGTCGTTGACGGTTCCTTATGAAAAATGTTTACGGTGCGAGGGGAAACGTCATCGCCAATGCAAAGGGGGCGCTTCTCGACGTGGATTTGTTTGAGGGGTTCGGAGCGGGTGCTACGAACACCCCATTCTACAACGACCTCCGGCGGCAAGGCGGGTTTGTTTTGGGTCGAGAGTTCTTTAACTTGTTGGAGGCGAAGGAGGTCGCCCTCGACGTCCCTTGCGAAGTCGGTCCCCACCAGGAGCTGTCAATGCCCTTGCAGCTGTGCGGCGGTTGTGTGTCCAGCGGGGCTGCGGGGGAGGGGGGGGATCTGGGTTCCGGTGAGGCTACACAGTTGCAGCGGGAGGAGAGCGGAGGTCAATTTGATGATAGCGAAGATGAGGCGCCACCGCGTCTGTCGTTTTCGTCGTTGAGCAGAAGAGACCGGTCCGTGCTGTCCATACCTGGTGTCCAGCAAGAGACCCCGTTCCGACAAGAGGTCGCAGCGGACCCCGGAAAAGAGGCATTCCAGTGTGGGCTGGACTTGGAGCCTACCGAGGGCCATGGCATGGTTGACGAGGCCGTGGGCGGGGAGGGAACGCAGGGCACTCCCCAAAAAAGGAGGGGAGATCGTCAAGAGGACTTCGTCGGCTCTTCGAAGAAATAGAAGACCAAGACCCCGAACACTACGGGGGAAAAACGGAAGGGAAGGGGGGTGGAAGAGGACCGCCCGGGTAGCGAACGTCCGGCTTCGAAACAGAAGCAGCCTGCGTCGGGACCTTCCACGCCACGGCCTGCCATCGACGAGGACACCAGGTACTTCCTGGAGTACAAAGACGACGTCAGGACAAGGCGGGAGGCCCAGCTCAGGTCGTTGAACTCGGGGAGTGGGAGGATCTATACAACCAGCGGTCCCTGAATCCCGTCCTGGTTGAGGGGATCAAAGAAGCGATGCGGTTGGCGTTAAATAAAGAACAGACGTACGAGTTGTCGACCCTCAAGCTCGCACCACTGGGGCTTCAAAAACCAACTCTTAGGACCAGGGCACAACGTCTGAAGCCGGAGGAGTGGAAGGACGAGCTGGTGGGAGAATACTACTACTACGCGGTGTGTGGGGACCATTACGCGGCTGCAGCCCGATCGCTGCTCGGCAGTGAGGTGGCCAAGAGGTACAATTTCGAGCGATGGCCGGCAAGAATGGTGTACTTTTCGGACGATGACTTCAAAGGGTACTTTCTTGTTAGTTCACAGGACAACAAGAAGGACCTCAAGGCGCCTCCCAGACAGTTGAAACGGTCTATGAAAGATATTCGGTGGAAGTGGAAGCATGACGGCTGCCCGAAAGCTGTGATGGGGAACCCTAGCGGGAAACAAGATCAGGTCCGGGATTGGCGTAAGTTCTGTACAACGGCGCACCATAAGGCGCCGCACAACAGCTTGTGGATTCTCGCGAATCAAAAGGAAGAGGAGGCCATTAAGAAGCAAAATGTTGCCCTGCCTTCTTATTTCCCTCTCGCGATGGACGGACAAAATGTCTGGAAACTGGCCGTGGAATTTTTCGAAAAATTGGAGACGGGTAGATTGCTGAGCCTAGACGGAGCAAAGTGGATCATGAAGAAAAAGAAGGTCAAAAACGTCAAGCCTGGGGTCGCCTGCGTCGACAACGACAAGTTGGGTAGAAAGGAGGTGGTGTACAACGTCCCCGTGGGGCCGCCTACTAAGAAAGGCAAAAAGGAGAAAGAGGAGGGTGATTGGTTCGTGCAAGTGCCGGACGCGGACGTGCATTACTGGAAAGCGATGGAATCACTCACCGACAATGAGAAGTGTCGCATTCTGAAGAAGGTGCTTGCTTGCGAGGTCGTTTGGGTCTAGGCCGACTCCCCGTCGTTGGCGAAGTTGGGGAAGCTCAGCGTGCAGGACATGGCGCAGTTGGTGAAGTGCGACCGAGTGCTGGTCCGGCTGTGGAATTACTACCAATTCAAACACGAGAAGAGGCCGGACGTGGATTGGATCCAAAAGTACCCTTTCCTAAAATCGAGGTCTGCCGTGTTCAAGAAGTGAATGTCAGGGATTGGATGATGATTTGTGGGATAATAGCAGGAAACACATTTCCAACTCGACGTTGTTCAAGGACTGCCCGTCGTACATGGTTGCGACCAGGACAACTCGATTGAGGTGACAGAGAAGTTGGCGGACCACAAAAAGTTGTCCGTCGACTGGAGAAACAAGGTTCTCTCCGTGTTAAATGGGAGCAGACTGAAGAGCCGGGAAATCGCACTTGTCGAAGGCATTGTTCACATCAAATGGAAAGACACGGGGGACGTGACATCTATCGCACCGTTCGGTAACGACCCTTTGGAGGCGGAAGTCAGGGGCGCAAAACTGAAGGAAGCAGTGGTTACTACAAAGAGTCACACGTTCGTCCTCGATCTGTGCGAGCCGGTTCACCTCAAACTGTGGAAACCCCAAGCGTGGGAGACTTTGAATTCCTATCTTCAGACGTGGTGTCCGTCGCATTGGACTCTCGTTGTTTTCGTGCCGCGGTAGCACAACCTCTCATTTCTCGCCAGCATGCACCATCTTTCTTTCGTTAAGCTGTTGGAAGGAAGTGGGTGCAGAGAAATCAGCAAAAGAAAAGCTTCCCCCTTGGAAACAATTTGTACACGGAGGACGAGCGCATGTACATCCTCTTCAAGGGTCACGATCTGTGCGTCAACACGTCCGTGGTCTACGAGGGAAAGCTGCCCAAGGGTGCCGCTGTTGCGGTGTGGTTGCCTTAGAGGCTCACCTAGACGGATGTGTTTGAGATTCCCTTCATTCCGTGCGACTGGTCACAAGTGGCGCCGGAACGACAGGGCAGTGTGTACGGGGATATGGAACGTAATTCGACACAATTCGTCGGTCTTATGGATTTCCTTAGCAAGAAGGGAGAGGGTGTCGTGTTCTTTGGGAAACCGCACGTGCGAAGCGTCTGGGATCTCTTGAAGGCTGGCCGGCACGTTGTCGCGATGGAAGGGAACTCCGACCTCTTGCAATTCACGATGCAGGTGGTGAAAAGCGAGGTCAATTCGGGCGGGCACAATTGTGAGTTCATGGTCGTGAAGTCGACACGGGATCGGGTGTGGAGCAACAAGACGGACATGTGGTTCAACTTGAGCGAGAGAAAGAGGAAGAAGATATACGATTTCTTGTTCCTACCACTTCGCCTCCCGCATGAACTCGAAGACGTTTCTCGAAAGGCTGCAGTCGCTGTACTTCGTGGAGTGCGAGGAGCAGCTGAAGTTAGCCAGTTACGCTTCCTTGATCTCCACTTATGACGAGGAAGCCATAGGTGTGGAATTCGTCGCCAACGCGAAGGAGGAGGAGAGCGACACCGGGAGCCTTGACCTGCAGTACAACCCACCTCCGGCGGACCACGCCCGAGGGTCCTCGTCGGTCAGTCTGTCACCAAGCGCTGCAGCCCTCGTGTCACCGACGGCCAGACCGGCGCCGGGCACCACGCCGATGAAGTTGCTGGAGGGACTCAGAGCTCTGGCCGTCCCCCCTCCTGTTTTGTGTCCCGGGTCCGACATACCGCCCGATCATCCGTCTTGGAAGGATGACTACATCCACTTCCTGCTTGAGCCACAATGTCATTCGCCTGAGGTGGACTGGGGCCATGACATGATTTGGCATCCGGGAGTCATCCAACCAACGATACGGAAGGGCGAGTGGATCATGGCCATCGCAATCCCGGGCGCGGGATAGGTGTCATTCCCGCGCGAGTCGAAGTCCAACTTTCTGCACCTCGCGAGGATTTCGGTCCTCCAAAAAGTGACGGCCGAAAATGACAAATTTGCACCTGGCGACCTGTCCGTCATTTCCACAGCCGGTCGACTGTTCGACGAGCTTCAGGACAGGTGCTGGTTGGAATTGACGGAGGACTACTATGAGCTCGATGTCGAAGGGCGTGGTGGACTGGAAAGTGCCCCCTCCCAGTGGGCCGGACGGTAGTTCCGGGGGGGGTTCAACTGGAGGTGGAGGGAACGGGGGTGGTGGTGCAGTAGGTGGCAAAGGAATCCCGCCTAGTGGGGAGGGAGGGTCTCACGGCCGCAACACGACACCAGGAGGCAGCGGCGGGGTGGCGGGTTTCGCCGTCGACTGGCCTCCGTCGATAGGCGCCTGGCCGGAGCGTATGACACAGTCCGTCGACCTCCCGACTTCGTCCGTGGGCTCAGCGAGGGAGATGTTGGCAGCCTTGGTTACTATCGGCAGCCGCTCCGGCGGAAAGTTGAAGTCCGCCGGAATCCGAACTACGTCGGATGAGGAGCCGCCAGAGCGGTCCAGACTGCAAAGCCGCTCGGGGTCGGGGGAGCCGAGCCAGGATCCCGAAATTGGCAGCATTGTGGCGCGGGACGGAAAGGTGTCGCCTGAGCGGGAGCGACGGCCGCAAGGATTGCAGCGAGACACGGAGACGACGAAGTCCGCCGAGATCCGAACTTCTTCGGGCGGGGGGTGTCGGCCAAGGATTGTCGTGCTGCCAAGAGGGGCAGCATGCACGGAGATGGAAGGGCGGTCATCGGGGTTCAACACGGGTACCGCGCAAGGGGATGAGTTTCGTGGAAAAAAATAGGGGAGGAAATGGAGGAAGGGAAGGAAGCGCAAGAAGGGGAGGAAGAAGGGGAAGAAGAGGAGGAAGGGGAGGAAGCGGGAGAAACGGAGCTACTTCAATTGCTTGAAGGAAGGGAGGGTGCCAAATCTGGAGACGACGAAGTGGAGCACAATGAGGACGATGCCGGATCTGGAGAGTCATCTGACGAGTTCGGACAAGTGTACGGAGAGAGCATCATGAGGATGAAGTCGATGACGATGCCACGGCAATGGGGATGGAAACACAGGTGGTTAGCATCCTTTCCGCAGAGCCTGAAGATTATGTGGTCCGACCACTGTTGTCTGTTGTCGACTTGCAACACCTATTGGTTGAGGCTTCCGTTGTTATTAGCCCGTCTAAAACAAGTCGTCGTATAAGCATCGACGAAGTTATCGACGGTATCCTCGGTGACCATCACGTGTCTGCCCATCCGTCCACAACGCCTGACGTCGACGACACTGGCAACGTCACATCTTTCGTGGCAGCTGCCCTCGCTTCGTCGCCGCCGAAGTCTCCGGTACTGTCGGCCACCCTTGCCGCCGGAGGGGAAGGCGAGGTCAGGGGACGACAACATGTCACGTCCCCAAAAAAATCTAGGGTCGGCAGTCAAGCTCTCGACGTGCTCGCTTTGCCCGCGCCAAATTCCCCGTCGAAGGAGCGGAGAGAGAAACAGACTGGTAAGCTGGGAAGAACGCCACACTGCCTGCGCGTTCTGGATTACGAAAACGAGAGAAGGGATTCTGTCGTAGTCCGGATGTCGGCGGACTACAGTCCGCGCCATACACTCGACGAGTGTCCACACTGTCTGTCGATACGGGAAGTTTCGGATGTCGGCATACTACAGCCACCAGCCCTTCCAAATACATCTCATCGGCTTATATGTGAGTCAGTCGGGTTGATGGCCGAGGGCAGCGTAAACTTCGTTGAAAACCTTAGTACACTCCATCTAAGGAAGGATCTGCCCCAACTAAGAAAGTGGCCAAGGGGCTAAGAAAGTGGCCAGGTAGATGGACTGACGGTTTTCCCTTCTCGGAAATAGTGTCGGTTTTAGTCCGCCGGGATCAGAACTTCCTATGTCGATGCGTAATGTGGTCAGTCTCTGTGGGGCTAGTGTATTGAAAAGTCCGCCGCAGTCCGAACTTCGGGGATTGTTGGCCTTTGGCTTCTGTGAGTTGTGATGGCTTTCCTTTGTGAAGTGCGGGGGTGTTGAGCTCGAATGTTGCAGTCGTTTTATTTTCCAGTCACACACACGCACCTAGGTGCATATGACCACGCGAAATCAGGGTCCTATGGTTGGAGAGGTCCTTCTTGACTGTTGCGTCTGTGCGATTGTATAGTTCTCACATCGTCATTTCCGTCGCAATCGTGTCGAAAAATGTGTATTCATTTTCCGTTCTGTTATTTTTCTGTTGTACAGGGGTGGGGTCATCTCGAACACAGAGGTCCTCGAAATATCCAGAACACATATTGCGGAAAGTCCCCGGGTCGACTACAAAATACAAGGATATGTTAAAGGCATCAGGGGTTGATGTCGAGATCGGGAAGGAGTACACCGTTGTCATTGAGGAATGTCTTTCCCCTTTTGCCCCAGAGAAAGGGACATATCCACGATCTGTGAGTAGGGGTCAGGCCATGTATGAGAAGTACTTAGCAACGCATCATGCACCAGGGGACATTGCCTAAAACTCCGTTTCTCACTACCCCACGTGTCCTTCGCTCGATGTTGTGCAGCGCGGGCCACAAGTGCAGCACGCGGGAAAAGGTTCGCTGCAGCTTGCGGGTTTTAGACGACATTATACGAGGCCCGGTGCCACCTCACACTGTTCTCTCTATACTGGCCGATGGTCAATTTCGGATTGCAGCAAAAGATCTCCTCACCCTCAGGGTGAATGATGAGGTGCTCAATTTCTATATGGCGTTGTTGGGGTCGACCGCATGTGGGTCACGTGATATCTCCTCAGGCCTTCAAGTCTTCAACTTTAATTCGTTCTTCTTCAGTAAACTGCGACTTCAATGACACAGTGGGGTGCAGAGGTGGGCTTAAAACGTAGATTTGCTTCATTACGATATTATCTTCGTTCCTGTCCACAAGGATGATGATCACTGGATCCCCTTTTCCGTCAACATGAGAGGTGACGTTCTCGAAATTTTTGATTATTTTCCTCGCGTTGTAGCTGATTGAAGTTTTTACATTAGTATTTTCGGGTTGATTGTGCAGTATTTGGAACATCAAACATCACATAGGCGGTCGGGTGGGAATTGGAAGTCGATAGTGAGAAATGTTGTGGTGGATGGAGTTCCGAGACAAGTGGATGGAGCTAGCTGTGGGGTGTTCATGTTGATGTATGCGACGTTGTTGCAACGTGGAGCTCGACCGTCTTTCCGGTTCTCTTGTAAAGATATTCCGCTTCTTAGATGACAATTAGCATCATGTATCTTAGAACAAAGTTGTCTTTGATGAATTTGATTGACTTCAAAACTTTTTTTTAAGGTGTTCCATTCGTTGTTCATTAAATTTTGTAAATCAAGACATTATTCAAATGTCCTCTTGACAACGACATTGTTTTTTTTTATCGTTCGGACAACGACATTGCTTTCTTTTATCGTTCCGAGTTTGAGTTGTCTTTGGCAAGCTCATTGCATGTATGTTCCATGTTTCGAATTCTGTTTAGCTAGGAGATTGTGTTCCATGTTTCAAATTTTGTTCAACTAGAAGTGTACACATGATTGTGAAATTGGTCGGTGAATGCATGAGAAATGTCATCTTATGTGTGACAAATCTCATTGTTTTGGATGCATTATAAATTGGTCAGTAGATGGATTAATAAATGTAAGGACCAGTTGCGTCATGTCTCTTGCGTGGGCATAGAATCACATGCCTTGTGACCACGTGCATTACATGTAACCAACAACCTTGTGTCCGCGCCCAAACCTGTTTTGCATGACCATTTAAAGTGCGGATTTTCATCGTGAATAAGCAAAATTTAAAGTTTTACACTTATCACAACTGTGAACAAGTATGGATCTCAATGTCCTCATGTCGGGCGAGATGATGAGCGTGCCTATGAGCGTGCCTATATGTGGAAGTCCGGATCTCTTCAATATCCAAACAAATGTCTCAGGTGAGACGATGGGTATGCTTGCATAACTTATGGATAACCTAGTAAACGAAAATTTAATGTGTTAACCAACGACGGTTCGATCATGACACCTTGCTCGTCACATATGTAAGCTTTGAGTTTAACAAGTATGGATCTCAGCACACTTCCGCCCATTGTCAAGGTCACAAGTCTTCTAAACAAGTCCGGATCTCATCATACATCTAAACAATCGTCTTGAGCGAGACCAGGAACCTGCATGTGTAACTTCGGGATAACCGGAAGAATTGTATTCTCCACTTCTATCTGTTTATATTGTTAATTTTGTTTACAAAGTTCAACAAGTATGGATGTCAGCAAACTTTCGCATTTAGGGTGAGTGGATGGGCATGCCTACGTGGAAACACCGCAGTCAAAAATGAATTTGTAAGAAAGAAGACAGTGTCACAATATAACGTCTTGCATCACATTTATGAAATTGAAGTTTGACATGAAAGGATCCCAGCACACTTCCGCACAGGGTTTCCTATTTAGCATGCCAATTGTTATTCGTTTATGAAGTTTGACTAGTATGGATCCCAACACACTTCCCCACAGGATCACCAACACGTTTTTAAAGTTCAACAAACAAGGATCCCAACACACTTCCGCACAGGGTTCCCGGGTGGCGTACCTAACATGTGTGGGTCTCAACACGCTTCCACATTTGGTATTTCATTTATAAAGTTTCAAAATTACGGATCTCAGCACGCTTCTGCATGTGGTTAAGCCCTGGATTGGCATGCCTACGTTGCTTAGGCTGCAACCAGAAATGAATTCGTTAGAAAGAGGACACAGTATAATGTCTTATTTTAACGAATAACATGTTACATGTAAAACAGGTCAAACTCTCATGCATGACATTCTGCCCCCGTTGTCCCAAACACAATCAATCTGTCTCTCCCTCCCTCCGTCCCTGTCTGTCTCTGTCTCTCTCTCTCTCTCTCTCTCTCTCTCTCTCTTTGAAAGTCGGTTGGTGAGACTGATGGCGCACAATAGGCTCAGTAGGACCCCCAACAAAATTTTTTTTGCGTCCGGGGTGCCTAATGGTCACGTAATGGTTGGCATCAACAGCGTGTACCGTAGGCAGTTCGACCGCCCACCAGCTGAGAGGCAGTTATCGTAGGCATCAGTAATCTCATTTGAAATTACATTGTTATTACTTACCAACATGATGAATATTTTTTGTGTTTATGAACTCCTTTGTCTTGGCGTTTGCAGTCTTCCGTTTTGCATTGAGAGCAAATCGTAGTAAATGACACATGTCCCAATGAACTTTGGGAATGGGTGATGTGCAAAGCGAGTCAAAAAATAGTGATATACCTGAACATTAAAAAATTCACACAGAAAGAATATAATTTCTAGGATTAATTCAATTATTTTTTTAATAAATTACTAGGTTATTTCCTAGGCACCCAAGTACTGAATTTGTACGCAGATACACAGTTGGCCGCCTGCCAGACATGATGAGTGACAAACTTCTATGCAGCCACAACATAAAAAAAAAAAGGCAGAAAAAAAATATGTACAACTTTCTCAAATATCTGGACATCTATGTGCACGCCCGGTCATGACTGGGGACGAAAAATCGGTCGCGCTCATGGCCGGCGGCCGAATCGGCCGGGTTCGGCCACGGCCGCCTGGCCAAGTATGGTGCAACATTTTTTTCAAAATATTTTAGCGTACAAAAAAGAAAATAAAAAAATAGGTGTGCAGGGATGACAAAACCCTGCACGCCCATATTTTTTTTTTTTTTGT